TCCAACCGTAGCGTAGCCTATATTACCTACTGCATACATGACAGTTATCTTAACCTCGCGTGTTTCTCTCTATATTTATATTTTGTGTGATCGCATTTATAGTTTCAAAATATATATTTGTAAGTTTTTTAGATTTTCTGATCTTACTGAAGTGTCATTGAATAAACATTTTGTTCGTGAAAGTGTTTGGGTATTATAGGAATGTACAACAAATTCTAAAAATTTTGCAACAAGGCACATTATAATTAAAAGTGAGTAATATTATTATATTTTCATAATTCACATAATATTTTTAAGTATTATGATTTCTATTAAATTGAAAAAAAGACTGAATTGTGATGATGACAGTTATATGAGTAAGATTGTTGTACAAAGGAAACTGATTTAAAGTCATATCTATTAACATTACATCATGTTTATTTTGATTTTAGCAGACGACAATAATGTATAAAATAATTTGCAAACCACACATAGATCCAGCTTGCTTTGAATATCAAGAAGCAATCTATTACAAAGCACGGGAATCTTTTAAGCGAGAGTTCAATATTATAGTCTCCGCTAATAAAATCTTGTGATCTGTAATGGAATGATCAACGCTTATTCATCAACTTGCAATATCTGTTGAAGCAATAATGAAGTACATCAGCGAAACTGGGATTGTGCAACTACATTATGAAATAATAATATAAATATTAGCAAACCACACACAGATCCAGCTTGCATCGAATATCAAAGCAATCTCTTAGGAAGCACGAGAATCTTTTAAGCGAGTGTTCAATATTATAGTCTCCGCTAATAGAATCTTGTGATCTGCAATGGAATGATCAACGCTTATTCATCAACTTGCAATATCTGTTGAAGCAATAATAAAGTACATCAGTAATACTAGGATTGTGCAACTACATTATGAAATAATAATATAAATATTGTGTGTTTTCTATTAAATTGAAAAAAGGATTGAATTGTGGTAGTAAAACATTATATAGGTAAGATTATTATACAAAGGAAAATGTTTTAAATTCGTATATATTAATATCATATCTCGAGTCAGGACGTAACACACCATATAATTGGTTGAATAGGATCTTAAGATGATTTTAAATATAAGAATGGACTATGTGTGTGAATATAGACTTATATTTTGTTTTTTATTTTAATTATATTAAATAAATGCGTTTTCATTAAATATGACAATAAATTTATACAATATAGTCAGTTTCTTTAACATTTTAAAAATCACCACTGTTTTGCGTGTCGTCAAATCATACAGTGCGTTTCCGAGAAATACGCCCGCGTCACTATAAATGCCTCACCCTGTATATATCAAAATTAATTATAACGTGTAAAATACATAACAATAAAATAACATAACAACAAGATAACATACATAAAATAAGATAACATACATGATTGAGCAATGCTTTCTTATTTTAACGATGAATGTAATAATGGCATGCAACACCATGAAGTTATATCTTTAAACGGAAGTTGAACGGCTTTATTCATGATTTCTGTAATTGGCCATATCATTAGATCCGATAAATTTTTAACCACATATATGTCCATATTTTGTGACTCGCAAGGATAGAATGGCAAAGAATTTTTTGTCAAGAATTTTTTCCCAATAATGACGGCTGTTTTTTCTTCGTTATAACAAATATATTCAATAATAACAATTGTTTTATCTTTGACATAACAAAATTCATTGGAGGAACTTTTGAACATTTCTTTTTCAATATAGGTATATTAGATTTGTTACAATCAGATTGAAAAGCTTCATTATAATTTTCCGAAATTCTTTTGTATAATTGCTGTAGTGGTTTATCAGCTTTTCTTAGCATTTTTTTTATTGACGTCATGTAATCCTCGAAAGGAAAGGCAGAAAAATTATCCAGTGGTCCAAACATCAATACGTCTTCATTTATGTGAATTAAATTATGCACATTAAAAATTATAGCATCGTCGCCATATAACTGTTCAAATATTTCAACAAATTGAATCAGTAGATCTCTACTGTATTTATTGTTACGGAAGCAATCTGTTGGGTGACACAATACCCGTATTGCACAATTTATTGCATTAAAGTGCAGTAAATTTTCTCCAGATAAAATATTTAGCAGCACAACCGGTCCAAGATACAATACAAATTGCCGCAATTCTGTTGCTTTCCAACGAGCCAATTCATCTAGAGAACGTGGTTTTTGAGCAAACTCCTTAGGTATCCATTTCGACATTGCAATTAACTTTTCCGACAACTCTGCTATTTTTCGTCCTCTTAATCTTGATGTTTGATATCCACTTATCCACAATTGCAACAGTTTCTTCATGACTCCTAGACATACTAAGTGCATGTAATCTAAAGGAAACCGTGAAACCATTGGCAGCTGTATAATTGACTCGAAAGGAGATACGCCAGTATGATGATCTTCTTGTGCTCTGTTGTTAAAATTTTGATCAGTCCGAAGAGGTGCAGTGGATTCCAAAAATAACATATGATGATTTAAATAGGTGCCTTCTTGCATACATTTTCCACATCCAAAGAATCCGTTGTATGATTTTGTGCAAGTTACAAATGCTCTTGCAGGGCTATCACAAATTACATTTCTAATTTATACGAAGTATTTTTTTTTACCGAAAATGAGTCCTGTATTCCGGAGAATATTATATTCTTGGCAAAAAGGTGTCAAAAAATTATCTATGGAAGGTGGTTTTGAATACCCATGATAAGCACTAATTACAAATGGTGTAAATGCCTTGTCATCATGTTGAATTTTGCCCAATATTGGCCAAATTTGACTTTTACTGCTTTTTGATATTGGCAGTCCATCTACATTCAAGTCTATCATAATAACTTCATTTACCACTATTAACTTTGTGCGTGCCAATTGTTCAATTATTGCCTTTTTCAAACCGTAATGAAAAAAACTTCTATTATCTGCCCATACCTCTACGATACTATTTCTCGGTGTATTTAAAAGCGTTCTTGCATCCTTTGGTAGATCGCTATGACCACATGTACGCAATTTATTTAATAGTTCTGACAAAGCAGTGTGAGTATTATTATGTTTCAGTTTCCAAGAACGTAACCAGTTCGAAAATTCTGAAATTTCATGAGTATTTTTTCCGGTATTCTCTTCATTTTCCTGTTCAACAATTACATGAACGTCAGAAGTTGGAATATCGGTAGAAAGAACATTAAAACCATTATCTGAATTAAAATCATCAGATAAGGTACATTGTCTTGTAGGCACATTTATATCAGCTATCGACTCTAAGTTGACTCCTGTACTGACTGTAGGTCTATCGACATGATATATAATTGACTGATCATATGATCTTTCATAAGTTTTAAGGCGCCGATTTTTTTGTCGCGAAGATAATTCCCGAAAACTTTTCGGCATCTATTAATAATAAATTATTACATGAATACATATAAGATATTTAAATTTATTTATTAATTTATTTTATTTATTATTT